CTCTTCATCTCTGTATGCTTCCGCGTTCTCTACATCTCTCAGTGGCTCCACTACTGTCTCTGATCTTCCTTTACCTTCCAGTCCCCCCACTTCAGGATTTTGTGTGTCTTCAAACTTCAATGCTGATCGATCAGCACAGAGTCCACTGCTGCCATCATTTTATACATATCCTGTCGCAGGTAACTTTTTGATTACATGCTTTTGTGTTTGTGAGACAAGATGAGGGATCTCTTGTGTGACTTTTTCTACCACTCTGCTAGAGACCTGCAAGTTCAGCTTCTTTATTATTCTGGGTACACTTAATTAATGTAGCTACATTCAGAAGAAGGGAGGAGGTAGCCTTTAAAATACAGTCATGGTATAGGACAGAGCGTTCCCATTAGTAGAATTCCGCTCACATTCAGACTTGCAGAAAAATCTTTGAGAGCTTTGTTAAGTTGCACCAGAAAACCCAAACTGAACCTACATGTCTTTTGTTTGGATCAGAGAGTCAACTTCAGCTGTTATACTCCCACAGAATGATATGATACCTCAGGCTGTTATCGCATAATTTTGATTTCTTTATTCTGAAAAGCTAGCTATAACAAGCTGTCCACATGACACCAGCTTCTATTTTCTTGTTTCCAGCCATGAAGTTGCTTTAGGACAGATAAAAATATGTACCTTCCATGCAAGGAATTGCTGTCTTGCTGCACTGGTATAGTTTTCTGCCAGTGGAATGGAAACTTGACTCTTCAACTGCAGTTGGGCTAGGTTTTTACTAGTATTGGTGATATCCTTTTTTTTTAAGTAGTCTGTATTAATAAAGTGTCTAAAAAGACCTATCAGTTGTGCAGTGTGAAATAAAAATAACTCTTGATTAAGGCTAGAGTTGGAAAATCTGTTAAAATAGCCTTGACTAGTAGGGCAAAGGCTCATGCTTAAATTTTCTTCTGTTTGAGTTTATTTTGTTTTCCTTTAAAATATGTAAAGCTATTAATTTACTTGCTTCTTTTTCTATAGATACTGAATTCCAGTGCTCAGGGCTAGAAAATTTCCTACTTCTCTTTCTTTTCTTAAGTATGAGAACATTCCTATCTCTTTGTTCAGAGAGCAACACCTGTTCTTCTTTTTCCTCTATGAGAGCTAATTGTGAAAACTTTAATACAATAAAAAGTACCACTGTTAAACTAATGTGCTAAAAAAAAAGTTTAATTTTATACATAATGTACAGGCAGTTGTAGTTCTTTTAGCAGATATTGTTGTACTCACAGCAGTTATATCTGCTAACCTTTAACAAGCAGGATTGTTCTGGGGCTTTCAAGAAATGAACCGAATCAACCTAGTATTATTCTATTATACCTGTTCATTTTCCTGTTAAACAGTTGCATATTGCTACAGTATAAAGAATTAAATGCAGTAAAAGAAGTGAACCTTTGTGGTTTTTTATTCCCTTTTACTAGGCATTTTGGCAGATTCTATTAATCAGAAAGCACCTTCCTCATCACCTTTGACTCCTGGAACTAGTTCTGCAATCACTTTTCCTCAGGAGCATGAAGACTCTAGAGTATCTGCTACCCAAGGTGGAGCAACTGCTGGAGGACTGTGGTGCCTTATAAAGGTATGGAGTTTTGTCTGTTACTCTTCATGAGGAATTACTGTTTTTGCTGCCTGTAATAAGACAGATCTTATTTTTTGAATTCATGTTGCTATAAATCCTGTCTTTTCTCTGACCTCATGTGTTAGGTGACTGTTTTTAATAGTGGTGTTTGTTGAAACAATGCTTTTACTCCTGTGTGCAAGAGGGAGGACTGCACAAATGCAGGTGTTCTAGGTTAGTTTTAGTGTTTGTAATAGGAAGATAGGCATACCTAACAGGTTCTGTCACATATTCTTACATCCAGTAAAACTTTAGAACCTCTTTAAGACCTGAAAGCTAACTTTCACTTCACAGCAATTGGATGCAGAAAAAGATAAGTCTGTTTTATCTCACTATAATTATTTGCTTACCCCATTTTTTTATAATTCCCTAATTAGCTGAGTTTCTTGCAAGTCCTGCCTCTTCTATAACAAGCAAGTCTCTTCAAGGAGAGAGAGATACATATTTCTTCAACCAAAGTACAATATACCTAAGACATGTCTAAGATATTTTGTAGGATTTTTCTGTTCTGCTAGAAGGCATGAAGTATATAGTGCAGCACAGATAATCCTTGCGGTGTGATCTGATCACACAAAGGAAATAAACAGCAGCATCAACTAGTAGAATTTCATTAGCCTGTAACCTTTTTGGAGCTGTGACAAATGCTACATATAAGTAGCACCATGAAGATTGTGGCAAAAAGATCTAAGGCCTGTGACGAACGCTAGATTGTGTTCAACAGTAATACAGTTTTCTGTACTGTCTCACATTAAACATGAAGGAAGAGTCAAGATTAGTGTCCCAGTGGGATTGCAGGATTTTGTAGGGACTTTAAAGCCCTTTTGAACACAAAAAGCTGGGAGAAAAAGTTGTGTGTGACATGACAGGCTGAACCCTGCCTTACTTCAGGAATACACATCTTGACAGTGATACAGTCTTAAAAAGCAAGATTAATCTCCATCAGTATGGTGAGATGTCCTGCGGCCCTTTTCAAGGAGAGATATCTTATGATCATAAAAACACATCTTCTTTCTTCCTTTAATAATGTCCTTCTCTCGGTCATCTTATTTCTCTTAATATTTGCAAGAGATGGTAATGTTCTAGAAGAGTATTTTTCTTGTAACATAATTCTGTAGACCTTTGGGAAGTATCAGAGCTTACTGTTGCAAATCAGTTGAGAAGCCAATCTCATCTACATTACTGTTGCCTTTATACCAGTAGGATCCAAAAGATGTCCTGTTTCTATTTATGGAGAAGGTCTGTATCATTGACTTGAATAATAAAATCTAGATTTTGATTGAAGTATTAAGCATTTCATGTGCTGTGTGTTCACTAACTTCTTTTTGAGAATTTCCTAGGTGAAAGAATGAGATACCATTAATTATACTGCAGCCATAAAGTTCTTGATGTGTGTAAGCACATATCAGACTCTGTTTTTGAAGATCAGCCAGAATCTGGAAGTCTTAACTGGTAGTTATTATAACAATGCATCCTGATTCCCTGTGGAAAGTTGCAGCTGCTATCTTTGTATCTGTTCTTGAAATAGTTTGAACTATCTTTTCCCCCCCTGGTGTTCTTAAGAAATCATACACATTTCTTCCTGATTTCCTTCAAGCTAGATAATATCCAAGATTGTGATAATCTGAAATTGACATATTAATGGTCTGTAATCAAATGAGACTGATTTAGTTCCTTTAATCTGTCAAAGGTGGCTGATATCTCTCAGCCTGTCTTCATAGGAGAGGTGCTCCAGCCCTTTGATTATCTTTGGCCCTCCTCTGCACATGCTCCAGCACCTCAATGTCCTTTTTGTGTTGGGCACTCCAAAGCTGGACACAGTACTCCAGGTGAGGTATCACCACCAGAATTGCCTCCGTTGCTCTGCTGGCCACACTTCTTATGATGCAGCCCAGGATGTGGCTGGCCTTCTGGGCTGTAGATGCACATCGGTGGCTCGTGTCCAGCTTCTCATCCACCAGTACCCCCAAGTCCTTTTCCTCAGGGCTGCTTTACAGCATATCGTCTCCTAGCTTGTATCATTAATGAAGATTGCCCCTACCCAGGTGCAGGACCTTGCACTTGGCCTTGTTCAATCTCATGAGGTTCAGCTGGGCCCTCTTCTCCAGCTTGTCCAGGTCCCTCTGGATGGCATCCCTTCCCTCTGGCACATTAATCTCACCACCCAGCTTGGTATCATCAGGGAAATTACTGAGGGTGCACTTAATCCTGCTGTCAATATCATTAAGTACTTCTTTACTTTGCATTACTGGAAACATGTTGGAACTGGAAATTCCAACTTCAGATGCTCCTGAGGATCTCATAACGCTCACTTAGGTTTTGTTGTTTCAACACAAACTTCAAATTTTGAGAGAGCTGAAAGAGGAATATAAACTTCCCTGTTCTTGATGGCATCCTGTGGGTGCAGGAGTAGTCACAAGGGTATATGTGAATGCTACCAATCAAAAGTGTCTTGTATTATATTAATGAAAAACAAGTGCCTACTATGGGCTCCGGCTTGAAAGAGCTTAATTGCGTTAGAGTAATTGTTTTCTTTACTGAATTCTACAGTCAGGCTTAGTGTTTTGTGCAGTGGTGAGAAAAGTACCTCCAGCCAGTAGTGAGGCATGGGATAAGATAATAATTGTTAGTAGCTATACAATATGGCAGTAGTTGAATTGCGGGCTTGTTTTTTTTTCTTTAAGCTTGCTACAAAGAAATAAAAAGCATTCAAAGGTTGTATGGGGCCCTTTGAACAACCTGATCTAGTGGGAGGTGTCCCTGCCCATGGCAAGGAGGTTGGAAGTGGGTTATCTTTAAGGTTCCTTCTAACTCAAACCATTCTGATTTATGAGAGAGAAGCTTTGCTTAGCTAAAGTTATTCTGAGATAATTAAAACTACTCTGATTCTGCAGTTCTCTGAAATACTGTGTAGGTGCATTAAGCAAGCACTTCCTGGAAAAATGTATGTGTACAGTGCTGTCCTGTGTAATGCTTGTCATTTAGTGAAACAAATACAAGCCTACACAATTTTAGTATTATACTGAAAACAGCTTGTTTAGTAAAGAAATTTTGTAAAACATTTCTGTAAAATAGTTTCCAGTGCTTTCTCTCAATTATTCAGCATTGGTATCTTTCTTCTTTCACCCTGTCATCTTAGTTGAATTTAAAATAAGCTTTTGATGAGATACAGACATCTGTTATGGCTATTTGCATGACAAAGAACAGCAGTTGTGTTTAATGAAATTTAGGTCTGTCAGCAGCTCCAGCTGTGATTTGGCTGAAAAATGTAGAACATTTTTCCAGTAATGTTTAGAATCTATTTCTAAATTGAAGACTTCCAGCAAAATTGCTCTAGGAATATTTGTTAGTAATGGGCCATTCAAAAATAGATCCTATTGTCTTTAAGGAGACTGGAAAAGAAAGACTCTTCAGCTTGAGTTATCACAGCCTAAATCTAGCTACCTAGCCTGACAATACCAATAATTAGCATTGGGAATCTGCAACTTTGCTAAATGCTTAAGACTTCTGCTCCCAAAGTAGAATTAGGTCAAGTCTGTTGCCCATCATGATTGACGGGCCTTCTTCTGCATTAATGCAGAAGAGGATGTTGAAGATGATATTTGACCTTCATGTTGTAACTGAAAAGTCATGCACTGATAGTCATATTCTATAGCATCTGTGCCAAGGAGTGAGCTACAATAGGTGTTAGAAAGTATAGGTAAAAGAAAAAGATGTAAGAATAACATGAAGCAGCTTAATATTTGGCTTTTATTTGTTTAGTCTTTTAACTGTAACAGTTTCTTTGGGGGGGGGGAAGGGGAGGAACCAACAGATAATATAGAAATCTATTTGCTTAAATTTAGGGTGTGACTGAGAGTCCCATGGTGAAATCTGTTCTTGATAAAACCAAACATTCAGTGGAGGCTGTGATCACAACGCTGGATCCTGGCATGGTTCCATATATCAGTAAGTATTTGTTACAAACTATTAAGTAGTATGGTAAATGTTAGAGAGGTTATTATAATAGTGCACTACTTTTACACTTAAAGTTTTTGTATGTAGTTTGGTAATTCAGTCACAGTATTTACTGATTTCTCAAGTGTACTGTCCAGTGAAACTCACTGTGGAGGCTGACTTTTTGTGTGTCTAGGTTCATTTGACTTTTGTGTTCTGCTATAGTTCACACAGTGGCATAATAATACCCTTTAGTTCAGATTGTGAAAGTTGATGAAGTTATTGAAAAAAAAAAAAAAAGGAACAGACCTTGTCGTGAATCCCTGAGTTGTGTACTGTTTTATCCCACTGTGATAAAACACATCCCTCTCCCTCTATTTAAGCCTTATGGAGTTGCGTTTAAAGTACACTGCATATGTTCTGTTGCATCACATGTTTAAATATTATTGTGTAAGCTATTACACTAGAGTTAAAACAAGCCAGAAGGGAGGCATACTGAGAAAGGCATAGGACAGAAGTATTCACATAGCTTTTGGGGCTTTCTTTCGGCTTTCAGCTGTTCCACTTATCTAGTCTAATAGTATTTATAATATCTGTAAGAAATTTGGCAAACTTGAAGGAGTTCCCACTTAGTAGGAACATTAAAATTTTAAAATGGTCCAACAAAGTCTGAAGTATTGCTGAACATTGAGCCTGAAAGGAGAAAGCATAGAATTGCAATTACATCTTGAGAATTACTAGGAAGTTTCCTGTAACTGAAGTCTGCTGAGTAATATGAACCAAAGAATAAATTGTTCTTTTATTTCAAATTTAAGCCTCAGGCTTATCCTCAAAGGAGGGATTTTTCTTATGTCAGGATAAATAGTGCAGACTTTGTCAGCATGGGTAAATAGGTGGAGTGATAAATAGTGCAGACTCTGTCAGCATATGTAAATAGGTGGAGTCTTAGTGTTTAGAAGAAATGCACTGGGCTATCTTATTTTTTTCTTTTAAGAGGTAGCTTAGCATGCTTCTGTACAGACAGTGAGCCTGGGAAGTGACAGGTTAAAAGGCTGTTTCTTCGGTAGTTTGCTACTGCTGTAAAATATGCTGTGCTGAATCACAGAATCACTAAGTAGTGTAGGTTGGAAAGAACCTCTGGAGGTCATATTGTCCAACCCCTCTACTTCAGCAGGGTCACTTAGAGCCATTTATCCAGGACTGTGCCATGGCAGCTTTTGAATATTTCCAAGGATGGAGACTCTATCACCTCTCTGGGCAGCCTGTGCCAGTGCTCAGTCACCCTCACAGTAAAATAAAAAATGTTGGGGTGTTCATATGGAACTTCCTATGTTTCAGTTTGTTCCCACAGCCTCTGGTCCTGTCACTGGGCACCACTGGAAAGAACCTGGCTCCATCCTCTTTGCAGACTCCCTTCAGATATTTGTACACATCAGTAAGATCTCTCTGAGCCTTTTCATCTCCAGACTGAACATTTCCAACTCTGTCCGTCTTCATAGAAGAGATGCCACAGTCCAGTGGTTCATCTAGTTCAATATTCTGTATTCAGATGAAGCAACAGGAGATGCTGTATGGTAAATTACAGTAGAACTGGTGACTTCTGTAGCCCTTTCTCCTTGGACTCCTCCTTCATCGACAGCCATTGAACTAAGGATAACAAGATGCATGTCCACACGTATTACTTTTAGTGCCTGCTTGTGGACATGCTGTCCATTAATTTGTCCATGACACTTGCTGATGCAACTTACTTATGCATCTTTCTCTGATGTCATGTTCCTTGTTTGAAAAAAATGTTTAAGCTGTTCTTAAGAAAGCTTGTCACAGAAAGGACAAGTTTTATTATATGTTTTTGCATAAATCTGCATAAATAAATTGACAGTAAAAATGATCCAGCTGTGATAGACAGACGGAAGGTATAATTGAGCTCATCAGTCACTTGTAGTAGTATTAGATGTGTTTTAATTCATGAATTGTTTTATTTTATTTTTAAAAAGTCTTAGTGAAAACTCTCCCTGGAAATACTGCCATATGGAAACCATTCAGAAATACTTACAGCTTTTTGGTTCCATAGATATTTAATATCTGAAAACAGGATAAAGCTGTAGAGAGGCAAATGGGCACGCTGAAATCCACAGTCCAAGAACAACTAGAAGTTACCATGAGCCTTTCTTTTATAGCTTATGTATATGAACTGCATTTGTGTTCTTGGTCGCTATCATAAGGAAGAGTCTGTGTCACACCAACCTTCCTTACCGCTTTCTAGAACAACAAAGCATCCTTAGAAATGTATGTCTGAGTTATTCTCCTAAATCTGTGAATTGTCATCTTAAATGAGTGGTATGATTTTTTAGGTGCAGACCAACCATCAGTTCCTGTAGTCTGTCTTTCATGTGTGAATCATGCAGGAAGTAGAAGTTAGATGAACAGCTAACTTAAGTTACTTGTGTTTCACGAAAGAACTTTTGTACCGTGCACGAGAAAGACAAGACCAACTGACGCATGCTCTTAAGATGTAGAATGTATTTGAACTAGCTTATAATGGGAAAGAGGAAAAATACATGTGTATATATGTATTTTACAGAAACTGGAGGAGAACTGGACATAGTGGTTACATCTAATAAAGAGGTAAAAGTTGCAGCAGTTCGAGATGCCTTTCAAGAAGTCTTTGGAATGGCAATTGTTACTGGAGAGGCTGCACAGTCTAACATCGCACCCCAACCCGTGGGCTATGCTGCAGGTTTAAGAGTAAGTTGATATATAACAGTACTGAAGTACCTCCAAGCCAAAGAGAGAATGTGGAATATCCACCCAGAAGACTGATTTTTCATAAAGGGAAGGTCAATTTGTGAGATAGATAAACATTTACTTTTTTTTAAAATTATTATTTATTGTTATTGTCATCTGGATCAATACATCAGTTTATAGCTGCTTGTTGAAATGGTTTTTGTGATTTTTTGCAAATATATTCACAGCAAATGAAAAATATTTTTCTCAGTTTTCTTATGTTGTCATTGATTGCTGTTACATGTAGTATACATTGCAGTATTACTGCAGTTTCAAAGTATATCAGGCTAGTCTATTACTAGCATAACATGTTGGGAATGTTAGATATTCAAAAAGACTCTTTGAGTTCTCTCTCACTAATTAGGTAGATCAGATAGTTGGATGAACACTTATCAGGGATCTTCCCAAACAGGTCTATGTTACGTTTAAAAAGTAAGAATTCACTGTGCTTCCTTGCATACAGCTGTGCTGGCCCAGAGGAAGAGTTAGCAAAGGGTTTTTCACCTGACTTAAAAAATGTAGATGTTTTTCATGTGTATATGTGCAACCACCTCTTTGGCCAGTAACTAAAAGCCCTGAGAACAACTATTTAAGATTCTGTTCCTTAAACGTAAGCAAATTATTTATTCATTAAAAGAAAGTTTTTTCTCCTAATAGCTGTGGCTACAGCTGACTAATGCCTATCCTTGTAGTGATATATTAGCTGATAAACTTTACTTTGAAGTAAAGGAGGTTAATGTGTGTGTTTCTTTACTTGTTTAGCTACTGCAATGTAGTAATAGTAGTATTTCTATTCAACTTCAGAGTGATAACAGGTTTGAAGCAGATTATTACTACATCTTAGTTGGATAGGTACCACAACAAAGTGATTCTCTCCCTTGATCTTACAAAGTTGATCCAAAGCTCTAAACGGATCTAAGCTTGAGAAATGTTAAGTTTCAAAAATGTCACTGTGAGTAACAGAAATCTATGCTGATACCTTAACTAATAGTGGAACTTGGTACAATTAAATGTTAGGAATGCATACGAATCTAGCTCTCTTTCATGGAAAAGTAACAAACTGAAAGTATTTAATTAGTTTTATCATAGTTTTTGTTACTGTTTGGAATTCCATTATGGCTTTTCTTGAGTGTTGTTTTTTGTTTTTCTGATGTTGAAATAAGAGTAATTTTTCAAAATCTCTCATATTTTCTGTTAAATTTGAAAAGTATGTTCTTGAGTTCTTTTTGCATTAATCTGTAAGTGTTGCACTATGTTGTGATTCGAAGAGAATGTTGTCTAACCTCTTATGTTACCATTTAGGGAGCCCAAGAAAGGATAGATAGCTTGCGTCGAACAGGAGTAATACATGAGAAACAGCCTGCTGTATCAATAGAAAGCTTCATTGAGGAATTGCTTCCTGACAAGTGAGAACTTTAAATATAATTCTTGGAATGGGATGGGGAAAAAAGGGAATATTCTTTATCTTGACTCAGAGGTATTTATAAAGAGTCGCTGGCAGTATCACTGAGCAGAAGAAAAGAGAGTCTGTCTTCAGTATTGCTTTGGCAAACTTGATTTGGTGATGATATTTTCAGCTTTTTGTCGAGACATCATGAGACTTAGACAAAAACCTTGTCAGATTTTTCAAGTTTCACAATATAAAAACCCAGTGAAGTTATACTGAGCTGACAAAGTTAGAGGACTGTAAAAGTTGGAATTTAGCTAGCAGTTTACTCACTCTTGTGTGCACTTTCTCTTCTCTTTCTCTGAAATTGTATTAGGTTCAGTAAGTGTATTGGGAGATGTTCTGATATTTGCAGTAATACAATTTTATCAGATAATATATTGTCAATTTTCCTTTCACCGCGAATGTACTCACTGCTTATAATTTGCACTGCACAGATAGAACTATGGTGTTTTCAGATACATTATCACTTGATTTCATAACATGCTTTTTGACAGACAGTTCTTGAAGTAGCTTTATAGTTAATTTCCAAAACATTAAGGACAATGTCATCTTTTTCTTAATGCAAACTTAAATAGCTTTTTTCTAACATTTGCATTTTGGTCATGCGTTGGGCTTTGATTTATATTTTTGACACATACTCTGCTCTTGCTCCATTTTTTAAAGGTACATTTAGTATCCGTAGTGGAAGATGGATGATGAATTTTCTAAAGTGTATAGAATTAGGAAGTGTTTTAATGTTTGTTTCGTATTTATTTCCATCTAGTCTGATTTAGAGGTTTTATTGTATTTTCCACAAAGGAGTAACTATGACAATGAGATTTCTTTCAAAATAGTTGTTTTCATCCTTTAAATTCACTCATTTCCAAGTGTTGCTTAAAGTATTCAACATAAAAGAGCTCACCTGGGACTGCAGTGTTACTGAACAGAATGCTAGCTCTTCTGTTCTAACATTACATGCTCCAAGAATGTCGTGTTCTTTGATATTGGTTACAACAGAAACAAAGAATAACATAATGTGTGCTTTTTATTCGGTAGGCAAGGCTGAAACCTTCCTTGCACAGTATTACAAAAAACCACTTGAATTATTTTTGGCCCTTGTTTTTTTTTTTTTTTCTGCAATGAACTGATAGGTCATGACACTAGTAACTGACTAATTTTTCCAAAGTAAACATTGAGGTGTTACAGTTCTAATATGGGGGATGAAGTCTGTGTTTTGATGAAATTGTTTACCATATTTACATGTGTCCAAAAGAGAAGAATTTCAAAGTAACCACCCACCAATACTAAGCTCTGCATGTAACACTTAACAGCTAAACTTCTCAATTGTCCATTAGACAGCTTAAGGACATTACTTCCCTGTCCAGTTGCATGTCCTGAATACTATTTGCAGAAAAGGTTGCAGACTCTTTTATGTGTATTATACCCTTTGATGCCTTTATTTGTTGGGAGCAAGTTATCTTTACTCATGAAGCTTTCTCAGCAGTCTTTCATAGTTGCAAGTGAGGTAGTCCTTTATCACAGAGCGTTCCAGTGCTCTGTTCCTTGCTATGAAAATGATGCAAGTGAAGTACTTCTTCCTGTCTTGTTCCACTGAACTCTTAGCATGAAGCTTTTGTGGCCCAACCAGTTGTTTTTCAAAATTGAAGCCTTGTGAGTTTTTTATAACGTGCTTCCTTCCCATGCTTTAAAAGATGAAGTATTTGTATGTAGACACATATATAATATATATGAAACAACAATTACGGTAATATTTTCCTTCTTAAAACTTTCATGATTCTTGGCCTTGATTTGTTTGTGCTTTCCCTTGACTATGTTTCTCCTGTGGCAACGCAATTGTAAAACTGTGTTAGGAATTGAATACAGTGAGGCAGTGATGATGCATTGCCCTTAGTTTTATTTGGATCATGTCAGTGTTGTTAGTTTGTTGACAGGGAGAAATGATTTAACGTTTTTGCAAGCTAGATGGGGAACCATTTCAGGTATTGCTTCAGTGGCATTTACAGTGTCTGCTACAGCAGGCGACGTGTTTGCAGAAAAGTCCAGAACTGTTTCTTCGAATAAATAATTACAATTATTTTTATAGGATTAGACATACCAAAAAAATCTTCTGAATATAGAGCATGAATGATAGATGATTTTTTTGAACTGTTAGGGAAGTTTATCTTAACAAGAAGCATTCTTTCA